GACCCCCCCCCCCTTGAGATCTCAGGAACTAAGGAAGCTAGAGACACCAAATTCACAGGGTGTGTTGACCTGTACATGAACTCACTTAGATCCAAGTTTAATGGTCCTAGCTCATGACCTTCGGGTCAAATAAAGTCAAACAGGGTCAATTGCAACGTTGGTAGCTAAAGAGACCCTAGAATCCAGACTTCTTTTCTAAGCAAAAGCTCACATGCTCATCTAAATTCAGCGACCTTGTCTGACCTTTTGAAGGTCATGGTGACCAAAATCATACGACACCACTTGGACTTTTGCATCCGGATAAGCGACAAAGATAGGCAATATGTTCCTGAACACAAAATGTTGACCTGGTTCATTCCAGGTCGCTAACCTGTTTTGACCTTAAAGAAGTATGTAGAAGGTGCATAATGCGGTTCCTGTCATCAATAAATTTGAAATGAGCACCAGGAACTACCTCATGCAGCAAACCCTAACGTAATATAACCGGGTGGCTTTGACCTTGGTCTGACCTTCATACCTGACCTTAGGTGAATGTAATTTGCTCATTCCATCGCTGTGTTGCCTTAAAAAGTATCTCGGAGATGTATGGCTTCGTCTAACACTCCGCTGTTGGATCAGATTGAACTATTTCTTAGAAATTGCCTTCGCTGAAACCATGGCTTGACTTTGACCTGCCATCGGTCAGCGACCTTGCAATGCGCATCTAAATTTATGGTGCCAGACGATTTTCTATTTAATTGTCTACAGTTAAACAAAATTTGGCGCGGCTAAACCATGCCGTGGGGAAACCATCCCGGAAAAACCTTCGGGGGTCAATTTGACCCGCACCCGAGCGCGTGCTAAGCCACCTACAAAACTGGGACTGAAATTTGGTGGGGGCTACACATTCATTTCAGAGCTTAATAACGGGTATTGCCGGAATCGTTCACTGTATTGAAAGTGGAATCCATTCATCTGCTGGAGCAAGCGTTGGAATATGTTGTGAGGCTCATAATATAGCTCTGCTTTTGCTCGATATTGCTGCTTAACCAGCGCCTTCTGGTATATGGAAGGTCTGTTATTTTATGTTCTTAAACTTGTGCTGTTCTGCCGTGCCGTGCTGGCTGCGCCGCTCCAACATGTCGCTCTGCGGGCTTGGCTCTGCGCGAAGATCGCTCCCGACTAACGTGCGTGTGGAAAGGTGGCCGAGACGGACGACCGACAAATGTGGTGCACGGAGCACACTCTCTTAGCCCCTGATATCAATGCATCGTGCTTGCACTCGTACAGGCATTCGTGCAATACAAGAATTGAATAGGCTAAGCAACATATTTCAGCATCATCGACAGTTTGTATCGTACACGCAGTTCCCTCCAAACTCTTGGCAACTTAGGTGCAAAACCATAAACCACGTTGCCGGGCAACGCCTCACCGGCGCGCCAACGCCGGCTTTAGTAGCCTGGTTCAAGGCTGGAGGAATACGGGTTGACGCGTGTAAGCTGATTTGAAAGGCATCCGCCCGAAAGGCTCGGAATGCCTACAGGTCTCTATGCACTGTCTAGGGACGAAATTAACCAAGAAAGCCAACTGTCATCTACTGCCACCGGCAGCCATTATGTCTTGGTCACAACCACCCGAAATGGGCCCAATATTCACTTCATCACATGAGTGCAGAGCATGATTCGGGTCATAGAACTGCCAGCGCGACACAGCTTCGCCAGCTTTACATGTGCTAACCTTGGAGGTGACGGGAGACTGGTTATCCGGGGACTCGCGAAAAAAAAACGGAAGAAGCTATGCCAGCTTATGTGTTCATCTGGCTGTCCGCGTCAATCTCCGCATAACATCCGAGCACCTGTTATCTAGACAGAAGTGGTAGTTTGATGGCGGTCTGTTGATTGTGGTCAATTGTTTTTGTTTGTTTTTTTGTGAACGCGTGATGTGTTTCTGGCAATTATGATGCCAGCAATGCAGCAGACCATAAGTAAGTTTTGGAGATAGTACCGTTTTGTAGCATTAGGTGGTTGCATGTGGAGGTCTCGAATAAAGACGGCAGAGGATCGTTTTCTAGCCCATTTTTCATGGAAAAATACCGTATCAAAGAAGGAGCAAGATTGGGCGTTGAAAATCTCGGCCTGCCGCTGTTAAAGGTCAGCATTTATCTGACTGCTAACTTCACGCCAGTCGCTTGCAAACTTCAACACGCTTTACAATTAATTTTGATACGATGTTGCCCTAGCTTGCGTCAATATCGGTAGCGGTAGGTAGGGGCTGTAGCGATAGTTTATTGAAAGCACAAATCCAGTGATTCTGGAGGTTTTGTTTCCCTTTTGCTGGCTGCGTAGCATTATCACAGACATCTGCGTAACACAATCATAGACATCTGCGTAATACAACAATGTAAACACCTGAGCACCGTGCCCGGTCACCCTACGTACCGCACACATAAGCAGGGTGCGGTCCCAGCATATTTCGCCCGTAACTATCGTCGCACTCCAATTTCCATTTTGTCGCGCAGGTGGCGCAAATGGTAAAATTCAAAACTGCTATTATAAGATCACTATTTGGATAATTAATTGCTCTTTGGACACTATTGCACGGAGAATTAACATGGGCGGGTTTTAATGTTCAGAATTTGCGCACACTTGCGTGCGTCTGATGTAGAACAGTCAGATTCCTACCGCCTGATTTGTCCGTTTGACAGGTCATCCCAGTTTGAGGACTTCATACCATCCCCTCTCCCCGACATAGCCAACATTTCCGCTCAGTCGAAACTCAGTTTACACCATAGCGTCGCAACGGGTGGCACGAGCAAGCTGCGGGCGCCTTTTTTGTATTTTTTAGCCCTGTTGTATGCTGCACGCCTGTAGCGATATGAATTTGACATCACTTATACTTACTAATTCACTTATTAACTCATTTCGTTTTTTTATGTACTGCCACAGTAAAGACTGAGGGACGGGTCCTTCAAACTTCCGTATTTCCGTAATTACGACTCTGGTGTTGCATTGAAAGGTCCTTGACTTCCCTTCCGCTCCCATTCACCCCATTTATCCGCGGCGGGCTAATAAAGACCCCGACGTCCCGAAGGCCCAGTCAAAGAGAGCTACAAGCCTAAGGAGGGCGCCCAGACCGTCGGCCCGGGCTGGGCCGAGCTGGGCCGGACTCACCACGTGGCAGTCCGGGTCGGTCATCAGAGGAAGCAGTTAGTTCTGCCTTAATGTGCACATAAGCAAGTGCTAACCATTGCGGTATTTAGCGACCACCACATTTAGCAGAGCCATGCACAGGGCGCCGCGTTTCTGAAGGAAAGTATGGCAATGAAAACTCTGCCTTCGAAAATTCAACATCGTCAGCCAAATCCGTCGGAAACTACAGTAACATTCAACTTCAAAGCTGTAACCCGCTGTTGGTCTACAAAGACCCGCCCCCTGAGCGAGGGCGAAATGCCAGTAATAATGGCAACCAGACATGAGGCATACTGGTTGTCCCCAAAGAACGCATATTTTGCAAAGAAGGCTCATATGTTCAGTTTTGGGCCATTGCGCCTAAATCTTAAGGTCTATGGTTTCGTGTCCGAATACAAAAGCTCACAAATTAGATTAAACCTAGGTTGAGGCTCAATCCATTCATGCATTGAGTCGGTTTTGGAGATTTGTGTGAAGGACTGAAGGTGAGCCCATTCGATTTAAGATCGATTGGGCTGAGCTGGTCCGGGAAATCAGCCAAACACGCTTTAGAAGTAGAATTTATGAAGCTGGCCAGTCCAAACAAATTGAGATTTACTAAACACTGCCTGAGAATGTCAGTTTTAAAAGGCATGCTGTTCATGTGAGTCATGCGTCACGTCAGGTTTGATTGGGTTGAAGTTGCATTAACTGATGACGATCATGATGGAAGTTATTTTGTTTTCTACATATGATTGGTACTTGAGATTTGAACAAAAAAGTCTAATAAAGAGTAGATGTTGGACTGAAATTTGAAAATTCGTACCGCAAAATGCAAGCAATTTACTTTTAGAATCGCCTACGCTACAAGTTGCCAACTGCACGTCTGTGTGCCTTCACGTGTTCCGCAACTGCACGTGCAACGCAGACCGGTTAGCGTCGATGTCACAGTGACCACGAATTGGTCAACATTCAGCACTGACAAAAAATAGTTAAATCTCCGATCAGGCATCAAGGTGACCCTTCTGAAAGTAGCCGCTCTGGCATATGCAAGAGGTCCGTGAAGTTAGCGATTTATTAACGATGTATTTAGCGATGAGCCTCAACGTCAATGATACCGACTCAGCACTGAAATCGAAGCTCGTCGCTAAATAAATCGCCAGCTTCAAGAACGTATATGAAACGGACAGTCTGGTACGAATTTTGACAATGCAACCATATCCTTCATTCTCATTCCAGGTCCGTCCAGTTTATTTGAAATGGATCAGAGATTTTATGGGCACAAGAGACACGTTTTTTTGCATACTGGCATTAATTTTTGGCTGTGTTCGAACCATTTCACTGGGGTTCCAAGGAGTTCTGAATGTTGCCTAACGTTTTCGGCAATGAAGCACATGCTTATCTCCCTATGTAAACAGGTCTTATGGTGCTGGCACTGATTCGCGTTGCAAGAAATGTGTCCAGGCAAGCATTTCTCATCGCAGTACTACCTAACCAGCACCGTCTGAATTTACTCAGAACCCATGCCATTGGTGCATTGGATGTGGCACTTGACACGCGCTATTGCTCATCACATATTGACTAAGCCAAGGGAAGTTTCTAGTCATTTCATATATGGATGCAAAGCAACGTATTATACTATTCTTAGCTGCGAAGTTATCAAGGCCAGCACTGCTATTCTGCTAAAAGAAATGTGACGTAGCCATCCCTACCCTACCGTGCGTGCTTCCTTAGCCGGCAGCTTTTGAAAAAGTTCGTAAGCACCGGCAGCTGTGCCCTTTGTCCGAGCTGCCGACGTGCCCGGCGGCCGGTGAGCCCGAGCCTGAGTGTGTGCGTCTGTCGTGTGCCGAGCAGGCAGCCGCCGCTTGCGGCTCGCCGCCGGCGCCGGAGACGCCGCAGCGCCGCCGCCGCCAGGTGCCGCTGCAGCATCGGCCGTCGGGCGACCTGGAGCTGGCGCTGCCGCAGCGCCCGGTCAAGGTGCAGCTGACGACGGCCGACCCCGAGCCAGAGCTCACCAGTGTCCTGCGCCAGTTCAACAGTGAGTCGACAGTCGACAGGCGGCGCGGGGACCGCAGTGGCGGCACCAGTGGCTCATGCGCTGCCAAACCCTCGGAGTGCGTAGGAGTGCGGGACCGTTTTGGCCGTGGACTGTGGACTGTGCTGCCAGCTGTGGCCATGTGTCGCATGTGGCCCCAAACGCTGTGCGACGGTCGCCGGTGTCCTCCGGGACTGTACTGTCAGCTGTGGTCATGTGTCACATGTGGCCCCAAACGCTGTGCGACGGCCGCCGGTGTCCGAGACTGTGCTGTCAACCGTGGTCATGTGTCGCATGTAACGTCCTGCCCCTGCCCCCCCCCCTCCCGCCCCTGTCATGACGGGTGAGGCACAGTTGTGCCCACGAGCTCATCTGTGGCAGGCTGAGACTGTGGAACCTGTTGCCAGCTGCAGTGTCACCATTCATTTGATACACTCAGCCCTTGCCGTGGGCGTGTCCGACTGCCTCCGGTCGGTGTTTGGCTCAGACAGGCTCCGGTCGTTCAGCTCTGACCGCAAACACCCATGCCCCCAGGCGGTGTGGAGCAATACAGGCGGCTGTTCCACCACCTACCCGACAAACCTTGCAACGAGTGGGCGTTCCACGACCAAGCCGAATGCTGGAACGGTCGCAACTTGGGCGAGTGAGTGCCGCCAGCGGCCAGCGCTCTCCCTTTTCGGACACTTCGTCGCATCGCACTCAGTGTGTTGATCGTCCTCGCATATGCGCGACATCGCAGTCATATTCGGATCGGTTCGTCCTGATGCTGTCAGTGTCGCTTCGGATAAATCTGGGGTCCTGACACAACTGGTGCTTATTTACCCATGCTTTTTAAGACAATCGGCATAGTGCCGAAGCGAGCAAAGCCTTCCAGCTTCAAAATGGTCTGAACACTATGCTAAAAGCTACGCTGAGGGATTTGGTCAGCCAGCATGTGGACCCACGAGGCTGATGGCGCTGTCCAGGCCAGCCCTGCGATGGCTGCTCCGGCCGCCTGGCCCGGCGGCTAGCCTGACTGTTCCCCGCACCTCTGACTGTGGCCGACGTCTGCCGCAGCTATGAGGAGCCGCTGGCCGGCGACTAGCCTGACTGTTCCCCGCGCCTCTGACTGTGGCCGACGTCTGCCGCAGCTATGAGGAGCCGCTGGCCGGCGGCTAGCCTGACTGTTCCCCGCGCCTCTGACTGTGGCCGACGTCTGCCGCAGCTATGAGGAGCCGCTGGCCGGCGGCTAGCCTGACTGTTCCCCGCGCCTCTGATTGTGGCCGACGTCTGCCGCAGCTATGAGGAGCCGCTGGCCGGCGGCTAGCCTGACTGTTCCCCGCGCCTCTGACTGTGGCCGACGTCTGCCGCAGCTATAAGAAGCCGCTGGCCGGCGTGGGACTGGACTCGCAGGTGTTCAACCCGGAGGTGAACGTGCCGCACATGGCGGAGCCTGTGCTGGAGGAGCAGTCGGACCGCCTAGGCCAGATACAGCAGGTTCGTGAGCCTCACCACCCGCCGCCGCCAGCCGCCGCACTGCGCCCGCCCACGGCCGTGCACCGAGGGCGCTGTCTGTAGGGTAGAGCAGCTGAGGCAGGGCAGTGTCTGTAGTCTGCTCCACACAACACGCCCGGGGCTGCTGCAGTCTGCTCCACACATCACGCCCGGCGCTGCTGCAGCGGGCTGCTGCTCGCGGGGGGGGGGGGGACAGTGGCGCCGCCGCCACTGCCATGGGGGCCGCTAGTGTTGCCAGTAGGAGATACTGGGTCCAGTGGTTCTGCCATCACTGCCCTGGGGGGCCGCTAATGTTGCCAGTGAGAGATGAAGGGCTCCGTGCCCCTCTTGCCCCCCCCCCCCTCCCGCCCCTGTCATGACGGGTGAGGCACAGTTGTACCCACGAGCTCATCGGTGGCAGGCTGAGACTGTGGAACCTGTTGCCACCCGCAGCCGGGCCGGCGCCGCCGTTTTTGCGATATTAATCATGACCGTAAGTAATGTGTGACAGCCTGCTGAACCGAAACAAATGGCAGTGGCTGCCAATGGCGATCGTCGGCGAGCGATACGATCGGACTGCCGACGCCGGGTGATATCAGTGTGGCCGACAGACCGGTTCGGCCGGCTGGGGGTCGGCCGCACACCTCAGCGCCCCTCCGCATGCTGGCGGCGCGCGACGCCAGGCCGAGACGCTGCCACCCGGCACGCTGAGATGGGCAGCCGACTGTCGGCCGCCGCCAACGGACGATGTCGGATACTGTTACGGTCATGAGACTAGTCGCGATCTCTCGCACCGATTCAGGCGGGCTCGCGGAGACGCAGACGAAGGATGCTCGCCGGTTATTCTTTCCCCAGATCATTTCTTTCCACGGCTGTGCAGGTTCAGGTACCAGTAGGTGAATACCGACTGTTGATAGGGCAGGCTCGTCAAGGACATTTACGCCTATGACTTTAAGAATGGAAGTGGTATGGAGGTCATTCGATCGCGATTGACTGCTTGGAAGCGGGCTCCTTACACTGTTTTCACATTAGGGTGGGACTTACTTTTTTAAGTTCTGGGGTTTTAAAGGACTTTAAAGGACTTCTCTCCCTTCCCAGCAATCTTTTCCATGTTGAAAAAATGTGTCCTCCCAAATTGTGTTGTTTCAGTAGGATGCAAATCAGAGGCTTTAAACGCCTAAAGTTTTTTTCTCGTTTTGCGCCTGGCTCTTAAGTCACTGTTTGTCTTTTCATTTACCACAGATAATCCATCACCGGCCTATTTCAACTTTTGGTGGATGATTCCCGCAATTACTTACTACTCTAAAACGCCATAGCACATTTCAGGGTCGTCGTTGAGGTAAAAGCCTGGGGCCAGACCCGGCGCAGCGATCAGTTTCTCTAGAGCCTGGGCCGCAGTAGGTCCCATTGAAACTGTGGCAGTGGTTACCACCACAAACAGCCCAGCCTTCAGCGTCACCGGAGATAGGGTGGCCGCCGATTCCACAAAAACAGCTACAGTGGACGCCCTTTCGAGAAACAACACAGTAGCCGGTGCCACCATTCACCAGAACTGGTCAGAACTTCTCACACAAAAAACAGTCTGGGGAAAGAGAGAGGGGAGAGAGAGAGGGAAATAGAGAGAGGGAGAGAGAGGGAGAGAAAGAGGGAGAGAGAGAGAGGGGAGGAGAGAGGGAGAGAGAAAGAGGGAGATAGAGAGAGAAGAGAGGGAGAGAGAGAGAAGAGAGAGAGAGAGAGAGAGAGAGAGAGAGAGAGAGAGAGAGAGAGAGAGAGAGAGAGAGAGAGAGAGAGAGAGAGAGAGAGAGAGAGATCACGGTTACCTTCTTCGCTCGACGCCATTGTAATGAACGGCTGCTGCAGCCTCGAAGATGGTGCATTCCTGTCAAAAGTCAGACTCTGCTAGATATTTTCAATTCTGCTTCGATCCGTGCAAAACTCCCAATGACTCATTCTAGCACAGAATGGAATAAACTGAAGTGGCCGTGCGATCACATTGAGAAAATTTCATTTGAGAAAAGTTCACATTGAGAAATCTGAATGAGAAAAAAGCTACATTCACATTGAGAAAAAAACAAAATTGGCACTGGCGCACGCTCCCCCATCTAATCGCGAACACGCCGCTGGCATTCGCGACACGCCTTGCTGCCAGCCCATTTGTGTGCTCATGCGGTGGCACATATGGCTTTCCAAGCAAATACACTAGTACCACCGATGTTGCAGCCACGCTATCGAGTGTACTGCAAGCGCATCTTCAATGCCGTTCTCTATTTTATTTCCAAACCACGTGTTTCGCAAATGATTGTGCCATCATATCTTGTGACACGGAAGCCCGTCTGGTGTTGCGAGTAGGTCTGCTCCATGAGTCGGTGCTGTCCCGCCATTGGTTCGTGTTTGTGTGTGAAACTGCTGCCTCTTCCAACGTCGGTCCTGAAATATTTGTTTAGCAGGCCTGGTAACGGTGCGGCGGGATGGGCAACGGTGCGGCGGGGTGGGCAACGGTGCGGCGGGGTGGATCGCAGCGCGGTGGGCCTGGTCACGGTACGGCGAGATGGGCAACGGTTCGACGGGGTGGACAACGGTACGGCGAGGTGGGTCACAGCACGGTCGGCCTGGTCACGGTGTGGCGGGATGGGCAACAGTTCGACGGGGTGGGTGACGGTATGGTGGGGTGGACAGCGGCACGGCGGGGTGGGTCACAGCACGGCGGGGTGGGAAACGGTACTGTGGGGCTGGCTGGTGCGCGTCCTTTACTACTGACTGTCAGTATCTTGTTCTGATCAACAGTACATGCCACGTGTGTGGGGTTTGCTGTTGGTGTTGCTGGAGGCAGCTGGCCTGCGTGTTGGCATTTCTGTCATCTAATGCATTGTAATCTTCCCACCGGAATGCAACTGTTATTCCGGCTTAACGTCGGTGAGTCCATGAAAGCGATCCGGGCCAGGGATGAGCTGGATGCTTCTGATTAGCTCCGACTGATTACATGTACCCTTGTGACCCTGCATGTACTTCGGTTGTTATCCGTTGTGTGGTTATGGTAATTAGAGCCCCACTTTCCATTGTTCAACAGTTGACTGCTTCAGCCGTGCGTGGCTCGGATTCCTCCGCCGTGTATATCTGCATTGAGTCGCGCTACACAAGTGGCATTTACAATCACATTCCCTTGTTCAAGATGGTTTAGTCAGACGTTTCCTTGAGGCGATCGCGGACCGGCCGCGTCAGTTTTGGGCCAGGAGGGGTGCCTCGTTCGATAGTTGTGCTTTGCTTCAGTCCAGTGGCAACGTTTGTGCGAGCATAAATATGCATTGTGTTCAACCGGACTTCACGTCTAAGCAGCCGTAACAGAATCGTTCAGCCAAGACGGTAGCCAGTCACGGCTGTCCGTCACAGTCCCACGTCACAGCTGTCCGTCACAGTCACACGTCACAGCTGTCCGTCACAGTCACACCTCACATATGTCCGTTACAGTCACATCTGTCCGTCACAGTCCCACGTCACAGCTGTCCGTCAGTCACACGTCACAGCTGCCCGTCACAGTCACACCTCACATCTGTCCGTTACAGTCACATCTGTCCGTCACAGTCCCACGTCACAGCTGTCCGTCACAGTCCCACGTCACAGCTGTCCGTCACAGTCACACGTCACAGCTGCCCGTCACAGTCACACCTCACATCTGTCCGTTACAGTCACATCTGTCCGTCACAGTCCCACGTCACAGCTGTCCGTCACAGTCCCACGTCACAGCTGTCCGTCACAGTCACACGTCACAGCTACCCGTCACAGTCACACCTCACATCTGTCCGTTACAGTCACATCTGTCCGTCACATTCACACGTCACAGCTGTCTTCACAGTCACTTGCCACAGCCGTCCGTCACAGTCACACGTCACGGCTGTCCGTCACAGTCGCATGTCACATCTGTCCGTCACAGTTATACGTCATAGCTGTCCGTCATAGTCGCGGCACAGCTGTCCGTCACAGTCACATGTCATACCTGTCTGTCGCAGTCATATCACGACTGACCATCACATTCACACATTACAGCTGTCCGTCACAGCCACGCGCCACGGCTGTTCGTCACAGCGACGTGGCATGGATGCCTGCCACACTCACACGTCACAGCTGTCCCTCACAATCACACGTCACAGCTGTCCCTCACAATCACACGTCGCGGCCACAGCGCATCTATCTGTCGCAGTCATATCACGACTGACCATCACATTCACACATTACAGCTGTCCGTCACAGCCACGCGCCATGGCTGTTCGTCACAGCGACGTGGCATGGATGCCTGCCACACTCACACGTCACAGCTGTCCCTCACAATCACACGTCGCGGCCACAGCGCGCCACCGCCGGACATGTGTCAGACTCCCGCCCCCACCCCGGTGTTTATCTCAAGTCCCTGGGACATCCACGGAGCCGACGCTTTGGGCTGTCTTGGGACATGATCAGGGTCGCCTACGATACGGCACAGGTCAGAGGCCTCAGAGGCACATCTTAAATACCCTTTATAGTAAGCTTACGACTACACACGTCTACAGGTGATCTGGCCAGGCATTCACGGTGTCCCGTGGCATGCCTTACACCTGTAAGTGTTAAGTAGCAGCACGAGGAAACACAGCGTATCGTTTGCAGAGCGCCCGTACCGCTCTATAGAGCTGTGCTTCACCGATCCGTATGCAGACGATCTCCTCACTTAAATCTCCCGTCTTACCATTTGGGTCTTTAAGCACGGGGCGTCAAGCTCGCATGGCGGAGAAATCCAGGTAGCGTCCCGCATGTATGTCCTCTCGTCGTGTCAGTGTGTATGACTCGTGTTTGACGCACGCATGAAGTGATCACGTACCAAACACGCACTGCGACACGGAAACCCGCCGCCTTTCGCGGTGATCGATAGCAAAGCCTCTTGTCTAGACATGTGCCTGGTTTCCAGAAATGGCTGCTGAGATCGGATCCCTGAGGCATCAACCTGGGTCCAGACACATCCAGGATCCATAATCTTTTTTAGATATCGCTTAGAGGATATTCTGGGACCTGAATTCACCTGAAAACTTCTCAAAGAAATGGCTGATATCTTTGAAGCTTTTAAAATGGTTTTGCTGATTATCTTCGGAACGTGCGGTCTGTCACGAGCCACCCTTCATTTCAACATATTGCAGTTTTTTCTCGAATCACAACTGTTGAGTGCACGAATCTGGCTTGCATAACCTCGTGCTCTCAAGAGCACCCATGATCACCAAACAGGAAGATCAACATGGTACTCGAATGGCACTAATTCAATTCAACATGGCTTGTCTACAATAACTCGTTTATTGGTTGTGCCCCCGGTTCGTTGGATACGCATGGAAGCGCGGACATTGAGCCGGATGCGATCAAAGCCAGGGGGCGCTTGAGCCTCCCCCTACGTCACAGGAGTGACGTTAAAGACATTAAAGACGTTAAAGCCGGCTGCAGAGCATTTTCGATTTCTCGCCGTATTTGAGCGGCACGGCGAAACCATGAATTCGCGAGGAGGCCAACACAAGCGCGTCTGGCGCGAGTGCGTGTGTCGCTCTGCAGTGGTCTGTCCAGAGCGCTGACCGCGCCCTCTCTGTAGCAACTGACCTTTATCCTGGAAGGCCGACATTGACCGGGCTTCGCTTTTCAACTTTTTTTTTTGCAGCGTACCATAAACTGTTGCTACAAAATACAGTAGTGTGTCCAGCAGGGGGGAGAGGGTGGGGTGCAGCAACGCACCCAGCGTGGTGCCCTCAAAACCGACAAGCTACTTTCAAAATGGTTTTGAAAAAGCTGTGCATTTGTGGGTGTTGGTAAGACATCGCACTGCCAGGAATGTCTTCAAGCATGGCTTCTTATATATAATATATTTATATATTTATAAAAGATGATAAATATCCGGCATAGTTGTGAAGGAGGAGCTGATAAATATCCGGCATAGTTGTGAAGTAGGAGCTGATAAATATCCGGCATAGTTGTGAAGTAGGAGCTGATAAATACCCGGCATAGTTGTGAAGTAGGAGTGTGGGCCCACGCAAGCTCAACGTGTGTAATGACGTGTCCGAGGCGTTGAAGTCCAGCTGGGGCTTCTCGTAGTGTCAATGCTTCTCTGCTAGTAGCTGGGAACTGATTGCTGATTGAGGGAAGCCTGGCCCTGTCTCTAGCATGCCGGCATACCTGTTATTATCGTTATGGTTATCAATCACGGCCACTGCTGCATCAGTGTGGCTTTCCTTGCTGCGAAGATCTGGGCGTATTTTGGCATTTGGGGTCCACACATCTCAAAGCACGACGATATTTTACAGCTGGTGTTGGGCGGCAACTGTCGGTTGGTCTGGCCTCTAGCCGGCGCGCTGTACGTGACTGCGGCCACTTATGGCATGACCTAGGAGTTCTCGCGCCGCCCGCCGCCCGCCGCCCGCCGCCCAGCCACGGCAGCTCCGCCGCTGGCGGCCGGCGGTGACGGTCCGCTGCCGCTGCCGCTGTCGCCGGTCGGGTCGCCCTCGCTGACGATCGTGTCGCCCCTCCAGATCTCGCTCGACAAGATGGTGGCGCTGCCGGCCACGGGCAGTCTGCATGGCGGCCTGGAAGACGACGGCGGCTGGCACGAGGGCAGCGGCTCCGGCGACTGGTCGGTCTACGACGACGAGGACGGCATCTACGAGTATCCCGACTACGGCAGCGGCAGCGGCGACGGCGGCATCCATGACGCCTACCAGGACACATTCGACGGGGATACACGTGAGGCCCGGCTCATATTCACTGCCTGCCCGGACCAGAGCACGACACGAGCTACTTTTGGACGCTGCAGGAGTCCCCAGTCTTGGTGTAATTCACTGAAACTGTCGTGGAACCCATGCCCCAGTACTAACGCCTTTATGTGCACGTTTGTTTTTTATCGCTTCATAATATTTATTCTTCTTTTTGGTATTCGAACAAGCAGCCCATCCTTTAGCAATCACAAAAATAGCAACGCAGCAGCGCTTCACGTTGTGGGGAACACCGGTTTGGCGGCGCCGGTGGCCGGACTATTGCAGTGTGGGATGCAAAAAGACGAACGAGTCTCTACAACCGCTGGCTTCTAAAATGACACTGCGAATGGGCTAAGCCATGTGTGGAAACCAGCAGTGGGCAGCCAGCCCACCGTCCTGCTGCTGCTCACGTTTCCACACGGGGGACCGAGCAAACACGGATCTGAGCCCGCGGCCGTTGTGCTCGGCCCGGCGCGCGTGACATCTGCTCTGGCTGTCCCCGCTGTCTGAGCCCGTGTCTGCCGCGCTGTCTGAGCCCGTGACTGTCGTGCTCAGTCCGGGGCGCGTGACATCTGCTCTGGCTGTCACCGCTGTCTGAGCCCGTGTCTGCCGCGCTGTCTGAGCCCGTGACTGTCGTGCTCGGTGCGGCGCGCGTGACGTCCGCTTTGGCTGTCCCCGCTGTCTGAGCCCGTGACTGTCGTGCTGTCTGAGCCCGTGCCTGCCGCACTGTCTGATCCCGCGGCTGTCGTGCTCGGTGCGGTGCGCGTGACATCTGCTCCGGCCGTCCCCGCTGTCTGAGCCCGTGTCTGCCGCGCTGTCTGAGCCCGCGGCTATCGTGCTCGGTGCGGCGCGCGTGACGTCTGCTCTGGCCGTCCCCAGTGCTGCCGCCAGAGCGGCCTCACGATGGAGACGTGCACATCGGGACCGACGAGGAGCAAGAGGAGGTCGTGCCGCGGACCAACGTACCACCGGCCACCACTGCGGTGCCGCCGAAGGAAAAGGCTGCAGGCGCGGCTGCGGTCAGCGCCAGCTGTTGGTCGCTGTTGCTGGCCATGCTGGCCGCCGCCCGCTGGTAGAGCCGCAGTAGCTGCCCAGCGCAGCACGGGCGGCCCGAGTCTGCGAGCTTTCCCGCCGGCGTGTCGGCCGGCAGAGACGTCAAAGATTGCCCGCCTGTGATACTGTTTGTCTGTGGGGAGTGTGGAGGTCACGTGCCGCCGTGCGCCGGCGACCTGTTCAACTAAGTGCCAAACACGCCGCGTTCGACCGGCGCGGTGCCAGGACGAGGCGTCTCGCTGATCGCCCGGTTGACCACTCTGTTGACAGCTCTGGAGACCCCTCGGGTGGGAGTCCAGATGGTTGCCCAGGTGGCCGCTCTGGTGGCAGCCCAACTGGTAGCCTAGGTGACGGCTCGGGTGGCAGCCCAGGTGGTAGCCCAGGTGGCCGCTCGGGTAGCAACCGTGGTGCTAACCCAGGTGGCCGCTCGAGTGGCGGCCAGGGTGGCAGCCCAGGTGGCCGCTCGGGTGGCAGTCCAGGTGGTAGCTCAGGTGGCCGCTCGGATGACAGCCCAGGTGGCATCCCAGGTAGCCGCTCGGGTATCAGCCCAGGTGGTAGCCCAGGTAGCCGCTCGGGTGGTGGCCCAGGTGGCAGCCCAGGTGGGCGCTCGGGTGATCGCTGCCGGTCAGACTGAGCTGTCTCTGGCTCTCTAAGTCCTGCCGCGAGCGAGCGGCGTTCTCACGCCGCCGAGCTGGTGTCTCGTGTCGCCGAGTGGCCGCTGGGCCCGTCCGCCAGGGGCCAGGGCAGAGGCGGAGGTGGCGCCACCTGGCCGTACGGCTGAGTCTGTCAGAGTGGGAGCCGTCGAGCTCAGAGACCAGGAGCAGCCGCCACTGAGGATCACGGCGGCCGAACAACACTGGACGGCTGGGCGGCAAGGCGACTGTGTTTGGGCTCATCCCATCTTTCCTGCCACGTGCGGTACACGTCGCTGGAAGACCCTTGCCCTGTCAGGGTCACGGCGGCTCCGTTGTTCGGTACTCATCTTCATAACCATCGTGTGCTGTTCATGGTTGATATGGTGCTTTCAGGGAATTAGACTTCTAGTTTAGTGGGGTTATCATACTTTCAAGCAATAAAGCCTCATACCACTAACAAGGCGAATGGCCCGTCCGGTGCATACATGAGCTGTAGGCAAGTTGCACCACTGGAATGACCGTTTTGTACTCTTTGGTTCTGCGCGGGGCTTCAAGCTGACAGGGGCCGGAAATTTTCTGTGATTCGATATTAGGTGCATGGATGGCGATTCTTGGAATATCGGAACGTGTCTGCGTTTACTGTTTACAGTACTGAGTTTGAGGAGGGTATGGTTGCCGACTGCTAAATTCACCTGACTGCAAGTTATCGTTTTCATTTCTGGAAGCCTTTTGACAAGTTGTTATACAAAAAAGCATGGGAAACTTTGTAGTATCTCGTTAGAGGAACCTTGGCACCTGTTGTCCGACTTGGGTCTCGTTAACATCGGGCCCAGGCCACCAAAATTATCCAAAGCAAAAGGAAAAAGCAAAAACTTTTTTCTAGAGAACTCTAGTCTTTGTCTCTCACGATTTTTGTGAGGTTTCGCTTATGTCGCTTCCCCTGCATAGGATCCTCTTTCTTCACTGCAAATATTGTTTGCCCAAACAGCATAAAGGAGACTTGCTTTAGCTAAAGTAGAATCGTGAACTCGGACGCTGGATTGATGCGAAGATATCGATTCTAAAACGACTGTGTTTTACGCATTGATCACCGTGTTTGCCTTAGCTAATTGTACATGGTTCTACTTACATGTTATTCGATGGCATTGTGCGATGGAAACACGGGGGGTGATATATGAGACGGTTGTGCTGTATATTTATTCGACTTAGCTTCCTTAGGAATGAAGTAGGCCACGGGCCTTTGAACTGTGTCGGAATTGGTGGCCGCGACCCCCGCGGCGTCAGGTCAGGGCGGCTGTGCGCCATATCGGACGACCTCGGCACCGGCGCATCCGGTACAGAAGCTGGCGGGCTCGGCGGCCGGCCGCGCGGCGCTCGCTCCGCCGCGCCTCGCGTCCTTCTGTACGGAGCGCCGCTGGGGCTCGGGTCGCGTGTGCTTGGAGATGGCCATACTGTCGTGTCAAAGCTGTGCAAGCGTGTGTCGGTCGGCAACGGCGACGGGGTGCGACGGTGCGTCGGTCGCCACGCTGCCCCGAATCCGCCAGGTCAGGTCACAAGTCTGTTGTCGGCCCGACCCGCGTCGGCGCCGCCCCCTGCGCCGCAGCCTCTGCTGCCCTGCAGAGCGTCGGCGGGCCGCGCTGGCGCCCTGGACGGCGTCCATATCGGCCGATGCGTATGGCTATTTAACTCTTCACTTTGACGTATGTATACATTCTCTGGCTACTGCCAGCAATAATATCGTGTGTGTCTGTTTTAGATGCGCCATCCCGGCAGAGTGTGGAAAGAATGTGATAAATACATTGTTACTTCCGCCACCAGCTGCCAGTTTTCTCTCGACGAACTTGGGCATGATTTGGTGGATAAATATGTATGCCAAATCGGTTGTTTCGTTCAAGATCGATCAAGACTCATTGCGATCTGTATTGCTCTATGTCAAATACCATTTACAAAGGGCTCTGCAGTTCAGTCGATTCCAAATTCTTAGAGTACATGAGCCCGTACGATGCAATTAGAAAACAAGAAAGAGAATAGAGAAAGGGGAGAGAGAGTGAGAGTGAGGGGAGAGAAAGGAAGAGAGCGGGAGGCCGGACGCACGACACATGCATTGCACTCAGACAAACCCACATCATAGGAGTCGGGAATTATCGTCAAAATGTTACAAAACAATGAATAGAACCGAGAACTGTTTGATCATGTTAGCTGGGTGTGATGAGTTTGTGAGATGATAAAAGTGTCGTTATTTACAGTTTTGTATAAATGGCATTCTTTTTTATTATAAAGAACTTTCAGATGTAATTTAAACCGCAATTAGGATGCTATTTTGCCAAACTACAAAGGTTTTAACAAGCTCCAAACTATTATCGAAACCAGAGATATTCGATAACATAGACAACAAAATGTGAAATTTGCTCACTTTTGTGATGATTGAATGAAATAGGCCTCCAGCGCCCATCATTTTACAATGGCTCAGCGAATTCTTTTGAATTTGATAGCACTCGATACTTTGCCAGAATTTTCACTGGGTTGTCCGAAATGCTGAGTGCGGTTGAACGAAAGCTGCAGAATGATAAGATTTATATTGATACAAATCCTGAACGTAGATTGTAAATTTAGGTGGGATCAAAAGTTTGTACGAACACGGCCAATCCATACTCATATGGGCGTGTTCAACCTTTATTCAGAAGCGGTAAGAGAAAAGGATGTAACATAGCTTTGAACACATGCAATCGCAGGTCTTTCAGCAAAAACACCGCCGTCCGGCGTTGCAGTCTCCATAGACCGCGCTATGTTCGCTTCGTGCTTGACATGGGGCGGCGGCCAGAGGACGAACGAAAAAGATGACGTATCTGGAGGAAGAAGATACCCTTTAAGGCTTTCTAACATCAATTCGCACGTTTAGAAGGTAGTCTGTGCATTAAGGAATGCAATTGCATTTACAGCGCTGCGAACTGAGGCTGAAATATGGTGGTGGACCTGGAAGGGCGAGAGAGAGAGAGAGAGAGAGAGAGAGAGAGAGAGAGAGAGAGAGAGAGAGAGAGAGAGAGAGGGAGAGGCGGGGAGAGAACGTCTGAGTGGATGTGAGTGTGAAGTGTCTGTTTTTATGTTGCTGTAACTGTTAGTCTGCTGTGGGATTTTTTTATACCATTTAGGTGAAGTACATGCCCCAGCCTAGTCTTTGAACAAAACTAACTTATTTTGCAAGACTTGTGGGAACATTCTTTCATGACGGTCGTTCTCGCGTGCCCGGCGCCCGCCGTCTGGTGTTATCTGCAGCGGTCCACGCCGCTCGGTGTACGGGAACTGCAACCCCGGGCTTCGGTGTTTTGGGTCCTGATTGCCAGCGCGCACGCTCAAAACTTGGTTATATTTTTTGTTTCACTGGTGCATTCTGCAGAAGGATGGAAATTCTCAGGCCAACGTGGGTTGATTTTTTGTTCTTACTTCATTTGAATCCACTCGTAACAGATGTGCGTCTACAAAACTTTGGCTTGGCTAAAAACGGCCTCCCAAAATGAGATGATGAATGCTTATGTTCCTACCCCTATCGGCAGGCGGGGGCTATGCCCCCCCCCCCCTTCCTATCCCGCGGCGCCGCTCCCGACTCTGCCTATAAGAAAACGATGCCATTTATTTTCGCTTGTCTATAATGAGGCCCGTTCCTAAAATGGCGAAAGTTCTAGCCTAAACATGGTACAAAGAGTCTCGTGGCCCGGCGAAGAGCGCAGAGTGCCCCGATTTCGTGCCGGAGGCGTCCCGCATGGTCGACTGCGTCAGGATCCTGGGTTCTGCCTCATTTTAAGACATCTTGATGTCTTGCGTGACCGATTTTTGTAGTTTTCTTGTATCCTCTGGACTGGTATTTCTTTGACCTCTTTTTATTTTGACTTCTGACTTGACCTTTACTGTGTGGCTTGCTGCTTATTTGGACTTGCCGTGGTTGATCTGTTTTGTCGAACTGTATTCCTTTGACTTTTGATCTTTTTGGGCTGCTGAATTTTTTCGACCTTATGTATTGTGACATGTTGCAATTGCATGCCTTGGTGATTGTGCATGTGCTGATGGTGTCGCATGGCGAATGTGCATGCGCATCGGCATTGGCTTGCGTGGTGGTTGCTTGGTGCATGCGGTCGTGGACGCTCTCGTTGTTGCTTGCTGCATGCCCTTATGCTATCTCCAAAGGCTGCATGCTGTGTATGGTTAGTTGCCAACTAACGAGTCCTTTGCATGTGTTGCAGAATCAGTGTCTAGTTCGACGGTGTACTACTTACTGAATAAAACAAATTTTGGCAATTGTCACAGTACATTTGTTGTCTTTCACGCTTTTGCACTTTTGCATGGTTGACTTTTATCCCTTTTGGTTTACCTTTTTGACTTTTTCGCCTATTCAA